TCTCATCTGAAGCAGTCAAGTATTCCAGGTACATGCCTATGGATGCTCATTCCATGGGTGGGATGACTGCTTGTATCCAGGTATCAGCTTCCACCACCCCTGGGATCCAAGACAGCCGGGGAGAGTATGCCATGGGGTGAGGGTGGGGGCAGAGGCATAGGATTCCCCAAGACAGATACTTGGTTTTCCACCGTTAATCAAAAGCATCTTGGCACTGACACTGTATAATTTGAGGTCCTGACACTGTATAATTTGGGGTCTTCGGTTCCTTCAGGGAGGGCGGCTCCTTCCAGAAGGGCATCCCCTGCAGTCACAGCTGTCGAGCCCCGAAAACAAAGCTGAAATTACCATGGAAGTCTAAATAGCGTCCGCCGTTCTGTTTTACAAGACTATCAGCCTTTCTGCTCTGTAGCTCTCACACCTAAAGGCTAAAATGCTCAGGGACATGCAGAACATAAATTACAAGACATAAAGCACAATCATGAAGATGGATACATTTAAATTATTTTACAAAAGTTACTGTGAATTCTCATATTAACTCTTGCTATGAAAACTGATACATTCTAAAATTAAGAAGAACAGGCAAAATGGGATCGTGTGAATTTGGTTTTGGGGGGGGAGGAAAAATGTAAGTCCCAAGGCTGGAGAGATGGTTCAGTCATTAAGGTTAAGAGCATGCACTGGACCTAAGTTCAGTTCCCAGAACCCACCTCGGGTGCCTCACAACCTCCTGTAACTACAGCTACAGGAGACCTAACACTGCTCTCTCTCTCTCTCTCTCTCTCTCTCTCTCTCTCTCACACACACACACACACACACATACAATACTCTAACACAGACACACATATATACACACAATGAAAAGTGATGTGTGTGTGTGACTAAATTTCTGTTTTTGTTTTTTTTTGTTTGTTTTTGTTTGTTTGTTTGTTTGTTTTGAGACAGGGTTTCTCTGTAGCTTTGGAGCCTGTCCTGGCACTAGCTCTTGTAGACCAGGCTGGCCTCGAACTCACAGAGATCCGCCTGCCTCTGCCTCCCGAGTGCTGGGATTAAAGGCGTGCGCCACCACCGCCCGGCTCAGTTTGAGTTCAACGATACAAGGAAAAAGTCAAATGATGGTGTCACTTGCAGAGGTGCTATAGAGGTCTTGTTAGTGGGAGTGGTAGGAAGACAGTTGCCAACACATTCCAAACACAAGTATTGAGAAGTGAAGTGGGGGTCCTCACACAGTGGCTGAGAGCTGCAAGGTCTCAATAGTTCCCAGTGCTAATGAACGGTATCCTTGGCATTGCCCTGCTTTTCCTACTGTGACGAGATCCCAGGCAAGAGCAGCTTACAGAAGAAAGAGGCTGTTTGGGCTCATAGTTGGAGGATTCAGTCTAAGGTGGCAGGGCAGTCATGGAGGCAGGAGCCTGAGGCAGCTGGTCACATTGCATCTGCAGGCAGGAAGCAGAAAGAAATAAATGCTGGTGCCCAGCAATATCCTCTAGTTTTTGAGATCATATTTATATCATTTCTCCCTTCCCTTTCCTCTCTCCGAACCCTCCCATAAACCCCTCCTTGCTCTCTTTCAAATTCATGGCTTCGTTTTGTACTGCTTCTTGTTATTATTGGTAGTGGTGGTGGTGGTGGTGTGTGTGCGTGTGTTTGTGCTTGTGTGTGCATGCCTACCTGCGTGTTTCTAAATACACAAACACAACTTGCTCGGTCTCTACCTCTCTTTCCTTAAGGCAAGGGCTTACTACATAGACAAGGCTGGCCTAGAACTCACAGAGACCCACCTTCCTCTGCCTCCCAGGTACTGTCACTTCCCCTTTTACTCCAGTGTGAGATCACAGCCCCTGGGAGGATACCAACAACACTTAGAGTGGGTCTTTCCACCTCAATTAAGCTAGCCTAGAAACTGGAAGACGACCCATCACCAGTCTGGTTGACCTTGAAGAACCAAGTAGACCCCCATCTTCTCAATGAGCAGGGCCTGACATTTCCAGCACACCCTGTCAGACCAGTGACTTAGTGACGGAGGAGATGTTTGCTGAGATGGTTGATTCCTTATCGTCCAGCTGCAATGTCGAGTCACAGCAGGATGTCCCAAGTTGCCTGGGAGACTGTCAGCACGCTCCTTCCTTTCACGCTTACAGGTGTGCGTGAGACCAGAGGTCCTGAATTTCCGGCTAGCACAACCTATTGCTGCATATTGGAGCGTGGAAGCAGAGTAGAGCACCCAACAAGATCTCATTAAACCAGATTCCAGTAGTCTTGAAAAGTCTAAGACTTTGGAAACTGTGTTTACTGCTCATAGAATTCTATCTATTCAAACATATGCATGGTTGGTTCTTGTTCGTTTGCCACTCCTCTGAGCATTTTGTGCAATGTATGTTGATCGTATCTACCCCCTCTCCAACTCCTGCCAGGTCCATGCCCCCTTCCCTACCTGATGGAGGAAGGTCATTGGTTAAATAAAAAGAAACTGCTTGGCCCTCATTGGTTAGAAGATAGGTGGGAGGAGTAAACAGAACAGAACGCTGGGAGGAAGAGGAAGTGAGCTCAGATTCCACAGCTCTCCTCTTGGGAGCAGATGCCTCAGGAGAGACGCCATCCTCTCCGCTCCTGGGCAGACACGCGATGAAGCTCCGACCCAGGATAGATGTAGGCTAGAATCTTCCCGGTAAGCGCACCTAGCTGTGCTACATAGAATATTAGACATGGGCTAGTCCAGGTGCAAGAGTTAGCTGAGAAGAGGCTAGATAGAAATGGGCCAAGCAGTGATTAAATGAATACAGTTTGTGTGTTGTTATTTCGGGCATAAGCTAGCCAGGCAGCCGGGGTGCTGGGGACGCAGCCTCGCCGCCCCTATTACTACACCTACCCACCTGACTTCTTCATTTTCTCCTTTTCCTTGTGCTCTTCAAGGCATTTTGTGCTGCCCATACATTCTTGGATGTGTGGCCTTCCACTGGAGCATAGCCAACCTACCAGGGGTTACACTCTTAAAGAGATCTGACTCTCCCTCTCTATTATCGCCAGTCGTGCTTTGGCTAGAGCTGGGTCTTCAAGACCACCCCTGTCCCTTGATGTTGGGATTTGGGCTGGCTTGAGCTCACACAGGTCTTGTGCAATGCTGTCACCATCACTCTGAGCCCCTATGTACAGCTGCCCCATTGTGTCCAGAAGACGCTCTTACCTTGGAGTCATCTGCTGTGTCTAAATCGTACACTCTCTCGACCCCCTCATCCACAGTGACTCCTGAACCTTGGGAGAAGGGAGTGTGATTTAAATGTGCCGTTTAGGGCTGAGCATTCTGCAGTCCCTTGCTGTCTTCATTTAGGCCAGGTGTGGGTCTCTATGGGTCTCTATGTCAGTCGCTGTCCTAATTAAGGTTACTATGGCGGTGATGAAACTCCATAACCAAAAGCAAGGTGGGGAAGGGGGGTTATTTAGCTTATGTTTCCTATCATAGTCTGTCACTGAGAAAGTCAGGACAGGAACTCAAACAGGGCAAGAACCTGGAGGCGGGAGCTGATGCAGAGGCCACGGAGAGGTGCTGCTTCCTGGCTTGTTCATCACATTGATCACCTTACTCTTTTTTTTTTTTAATACATCCCAGGCTGGGCCTTCTCTGACCAATCACTAATTAAGAAAATAACCCACAGGCCTGCCCCACAGCCTGATCTTATGGAGACATGTTCTCAATTGGTGTTTCCTTCTCTCTGATGACTCTGACTTGCGTCAAGTCGACAGAGAACTAGCCAGTGCCATCTTCTACAAACAGAAGTTTCCCGACGATAGTTGAGAAACGTGCTAATCTGTGGGTATAGTGATAACTCATTAGGAATTGATTTGGTTCTGTTTCCATTTAGTAGAAAAATAGTAGGAAGTTCTTCCCTGGGGCCTATGACCTGTCTAGCTGTAGGTTCTTGTCCTAAATGATGGCGCTAGGTATGAGTTTCCTCTTGTAAAGCTGGACTTCCATCCAATCAGAATGCGGTCGGTCACCCCCATGACCCTTGTGTCGCTGGTGTAGCCATGGGCTTGCCTTGCTAGGCCACTGGTTATTGTAGCTCAGCATGTTCAGAGCTGGATAAGGCTGGTGATTAATTTCTTCCTCTGATAATAGGTTTCTTATTCTTAAGTGAAGTAGAAATACATATTTTAACATTTTCTGAGTTTTAACATCTAATAGTGTAAATACCAATAGTGCAACCCATAGAAACCGAAACCCTTAGAGATCCTCAAAAATCGTTAAGTGTGAAAAAATCGTTAAATGTGAAAAGAGTACCTTGAAGCAGGAGTCTGAGAAGCTGTTAAACATAGCCACCTCCTCCAAGCTTTGGGCTCCCTGCTTCTGGGAAGGAAAGGCTCTAATTCAGCTGCTGAATTATATATGTGTAGTATATTTTCCTACACATGGAATAAGTGTAACACTTATGCCAAAGTCAGCTTCTCTTATAAATAATGACCACATCCCCCTTCGGTAATTCTCCACACTAAATTCTACAGTCTGCCTTCTCTGTGGAGAAATTATGTGGTTAGAGAAAGAAATTCTTGTTGGACCCTATCAAACATGGGGGCCTAGACTTCCTAAAACCTAAAGGTTTCGGACACTTTCTGGACATGCCGTTTGTTCAACTCCACCCTTCTGTTTAGTTTCAAAGTCCTGTGTTTACCCTAAATTTTAAACAGGAAGAAATGATTTGTGTTTCTGGCTTTGTTGAAACTAAACCACAAAGCATCTTGATATTAAAAGGAGGAGGGGAGACAGAGGAGGAAAAATAGAATCTGTCTAAGAGAGAGATGTCCCCCTTAGACTAGCATGTCCCCAGGGGCAGGAAACCTCAGGTTGCTTGTCCCTATTCCTCTGCTACTCAGAGATTCTGCCAGCACCGGCACAGGGGTCCCCACCACCACTTACTGATATTAACACACACGGGTTGGCAAGTGGGGCATTTCCAAAGACACTCGTCTCGCTCTCTTTCAAATTGCATTCTTTCTCTCTGCAGGAATTTAACGGGTACATTTCCAGACTACCCCAACGAAGAAGAAGGAGGCTCAGCTATCATCTTCTCGAACAAGACCCCAGAACAGGTAAGCAATGCATGACAATAAAAAGTGGTTAAGCCATAGTCACAATTCCTTAGACTTGGATGTGGATGGATTCACAGTATATCTCCAGGATTTTCTAAGAATTACTTACATGAGCCGGGCGGTGGTGGCGCACGCCTTTAATCCCAGCACTCGGGAGGCAGAGGCAGGTGGATCTCTGTGAGTTCGAGACCAGCCTGGTCTACAAGAGCTAGTTCCAGGACAGGCTCCAAAACCACAGAGAAACTCTGTCTCGAAAAAAACAAAAAAAAAAAAAAAGAAGAAGAATTACTTACATGACGCATCCTAGGGTGAATATCATCACACATATCCTTTCTGGTTTGTTTTATGATCAATTCTTTCTTTCTCCTGTCCAGTTTTGAAAAGACTGTGATGTCATATCAAGCCACTTTTCTTGTCAGTTCCTAGCAGTCTGAGTTCTGGTTTCTGGTACCTAGCCATCCCTCCTTCCCCATCCCCCATCATCAGACCACGGACTCCGGCCATTCACTCTCCCATCTTCCATACCTCAAGCTTCTCTCTCACGATCTCTGCATCTCAGGATGCTCTCTCCTGTCTGCCCACATCTCAGACTGCTCTCCCTAGCTCTAAGGTGACTTCTCTCGGACCTAATATTTCCTTGGCAACTCTAGCAAATGCAATAAGATTTTAAAACAGACAGTTATAAATACTTGAAGCATTATTTTATTATTTTTACATTTTGGGTTATTTTCCTAGAAAATGCAGTAATCTCAACATGAAATCCAGCATTGCGGGGGTAAAATTTGACTGGGGAGGTAAGAGAAGCGTTAGTGAGACAAAGAGATTGCTGGATCATTTCCCTGAAGACTCAATAAAATAGAAATATACGTTGTCCATTAATCCCCATCCTTGATGCAATTTCAACCAAAACCAAGGTCATTTTTATATTGACAACCATATTTTCAAGTTTGCATGCAAGAACGCATGGACATCTCCAAAAAGAGTTAGTGAAAGAGTCCGTAACGGCCGTGATGCCACAGAATTAGGAAAAGAATAGAAGATGATGGCCACAGTAGCAACACATTCACTCACCAAGAGAACGTTCTGTGCCAGCTGCTATGCAAAGACATGCAGATTAACCCTGTGAAGATCAAGCAACCTGGGCAAACTCACAGTTAATAAACTGTGGTTCTGAAAGTCAAGTCACAGAGGCCAACTGCAGAATAATGTGTTCAGAAGCCAATTCAGATCCAAATGAGAACTCAGTCATCCTAACGGTCCCTTTGAAAGAAGGGAGAACGGAGCAGCAGGTAAGGAGACGGCCAGGCCCTCTGTAGCAGAGTTCATTACATCCTTAGCCTCCCCTGACTTGCAAAATAAATTTTTTTATACTGAATATTTACATGTAAAAATATTAGACTGCAAATTGCCAGAAGAAATTGCTGGAATATTTAATAATCAGAAGGGTGGGGAATAACTTTGGAAGCATGTTGCCATAGGCAGAAATCAAATAAAAAACAGACTGATATAACAGACTACACAAAACTCAAGCAGTTAAAAATGATACCGTCAGTGAAGTTAGAGTCATGAAAAACTAAGGAAAATGCTTGGCGGCATCTCTGATGAATAGTTCGTCCATATTTAAAGAGTCTTTACAAAGTAATAAATCATCGTCTCTGTAGAAAAGACACCAAAAATATGAACAGAACTTTTTTTTTTAAGAAAAAAGTTTTAATTACTGGCAAAGACCTTTCAATATCAAACAGTTTTACTGTGTCTCTTTATCCACACAACTAATAAAAATTTTAAGCTAGAAACCCAGCTCGGTGTGCCTGTAGGAAAATGTCACTCTCAAGCACTATGGCTGGGCATTTCTTAAGGGGCATGGACCAAGTTGACATCCAGAATTTCAATATGGATGCTCTCTGCCCGAGGGACACCAATTTGAAGAATTTATGCTACAGAAAATAACTAGGCAGGTTGACAAAAGTTAGAAATGGCAGCCTTTTTCAAACAGGGCAAATAGTGAGGACCTTAAGCTGGTTATGAGTACCCTCTGCCACAACTCAGCTCTTCCATGATAGCAAGAAGGCAGCCATGATGGTATGTAAGTGATGGGGCTGTGCAGATATTCCCTGAGTACCATATCTCATTACCCCTGCCATGCGTGAGTGTAAGAGTTGGTCAAAGTTGGTCATGTCTGCCTTTGTGTATAGTATGGATAAAGAACACCCGGGGGCAGGCATTGAAATAGTCTCTGTACCCCAGGCTAGCCTCACATTCATTATGTATCAAGGATAACCTTGAACTTCAGATCCTCCTGACTCCAGGCCCTAGGTCCTGGGGTTACTGGTATGCACCACTACATGCATATGTGGTGTTAAAGACAGAACCCAAGGCAGCTTCATGAGTGCTGGGCAAGCACCCTTACAGCGGGGTGACATCCCCAGCTGTTCTTGTTTGGTTGGTTTTGGTGTTTTGTTTTCAAGATTTATATTATTTTATGCATATGAATGTCTTGCCTGCATATATACATATGCATACATATATGTATGTGTGTGCATCTCATGTGTGCCTGTAGAAGTCAGAGAAGAGGGCATTGGATCCCCTAGAGCTGGAGTTACTGATGTTTGTGAGCCACCCTGTGAGTGCTGGGAACTGAACCCAGGTCCCCTACAAAACCAATCAGTGCTTTTAACTGCTGCAGCATCTCTCCGGTCCCCCCAACCCTCCAGTGTTCTTAGGAGGATCTAAGTACCTGGAGCACCATGCAGAGGAGTACCCCCTCTTAAGGTCAGGGTCGGAGACTTCACACCAGCCCCTAAGGCAGACTGCCCATTGTGTGCCCTGTTGCCTATGGCGTCAGGTGAAGGGTTCCTCTTCAACCTGGCATGTTTTGGCTGAACATGTTCTGAAGCCAGCATCATTCTCCTTCCTCCATACCACACTCTGGCCCTCCCCAGAACACTATAAGCATGCAGTGCCAGCACTGTTACCGGGCAGTTTAGCAGTTTAGCAGGCCTTGCCCTAAGGGACCATCACTTTAACTGTGTTGTTTCTCTTTCTTTCTTTCTTTCTTTCTTTCTTTCTTTCTTTCTTTCTTTCTTCCTCGTGTGTGTGTGTGTGTGTGTGTGTGTGTGTGTGTGTGTGTTTATGTCTTGCCCTGCCGCCAAGTCTTCAGGAACAAGCAGGGTCTTGAAAGTCAGATCAGGGCAAGCAGCCAAACATGCTTCACTGTAGTTTAGAGAGCAGTGATTATGGGATTAAGAATGTTGGTGGAATGTCTCAGTTGTCCACAAGAAACATGAAAAGGAGGAGCTGACTCTAGCCAAACTAAAAACAAACCTGCAGGCGCCTGGTGAATGCATTCCGGTAAAGCAAAGGGGACCACAGGGCAGCTTGACATTAAATGACAGCTGATGGAAAGCGAGAAAAGACCAGCAATTATAGACCGCATTCCACCCAAGGCTGCATCCGCGGCCTGAGCCTGCCAGTCTGGAGACGGAGATCAGGCTGGAGCTTCCTGCCTGGACCATGCGTGATCAGACGGGAGAGCATGCATCAAGGCCTGAGTTCAATTCCCAGCACTGTGGGGGAGGGTGGAATACTGGCTCACTAAAACTAGCAGCATGCTAAAGAGGTAAACCGGGGTGATAAAGTGACAATCATTTTATAATGCCAAAGTTTAAGGCATATGTGAACGCACTGCATCATGGGAAGTAGCCTGAAGAAAAGAGCCTAGACTTATCCAATGGATGTGGAAGGGCCTTTTCCAAACCTAGCATCTCTCTCTCTCTGATACTAAAAAATAAAAACCTCTTTTAAGTACTTGGTCAGTGGGGTTCCAGTGATACCCTCAAACATCACAAGCCATTTCTATTACTCTTTGTTACCCTCCAGAAGTTGATGGTGAGACCCTATTGCTGCAGATACTACACACTTGAGTCACAGGACATGGAGAAATCAATCTCGTACGGACTTGGAAGTTTCATCCTTACTGGCTAGATTTCATAGTGCCAGAAGGTTCAATTTACAGTACTGAGGGAGAAAGTATTCAACCATCTCACCCAGCTGTGAACCCCATGGACTGACAGACCTTGCAAGATAGGCCCGCTGGTGCAATAGTGGCATGGACGTTCTAGACATAATCAAATACTTTCTGATTAGAGCTAAAGCCTTCCATGAGACATAATTTGTTCCTTGACCCTAAACCCATGGCTGAGTGGGTCATAGGCCATAGGAAGAACCTACTACTATTATTTTGCTAGAGGGACAGAGTAATAAACTGCCCAAGATCATTGCAGAAGAGGAAGTGGAAAGATCGTAAGAGCCAGAGGAAGAGGATGTCCACAGAGAAACTTTATTTGATGGAAATGACAGCAAACCAAAGTTGCAATGAGTGCATGCACAAGACCTGAACAAGATCAAACCAGTCAAAACAAGATCAAACCAATCAAAACCCCAGCATGGACAGGGAGGGGCTTATGAGATTACATTCCTAGCTAAGGAGCTACTGGAACTCGGTGGCTGCTGGGGAAGGGAAATTCATTTTCTTCAGTGATGTGACCCCTGAGAAGACTACCCATGCTTCAGCAGATGGTCCTGTGCCCACCAATGCACATACAGACTCAGTGTCTGTCTGTCTGTTTTAAATAGCAAGTACATGAGGCTGGGAGGAAATAGTGGATAGGAAAGGACTTGGAGGAGTTAAGAATGAGGGTGGATTTTATCTAAACACATTATATGCATGCATGAACCTCTCAATAAAAAACTGAAGTCAATGAACTTGAAATATATGCACCCTTCTTTAACGTAACAACGAATTTCTATCTTGTTTTGAAACCCAATGTCATGCCTAATTAAATTCATGAGAAACAGTTCCACTAATGGCAGAAACACACAAGAATGGCTGTTACACCACCATTATCAAACATTGTTCTATATGAACTGCCATGCACGCTCAGACAAGACAAAGGGCAAGACACAGAAATTGGAGCGGGCAAGAGATTGTGTACTACATTTGTATCCTATATACAGAAACAAAGAGGATCAACTGAAGAACTGAATAGCATCAAGACTGAAACAATAGTCTTACACTATTAGTGAGCAGAGCAGTGGGTCTGTGTGTGCAAACATTGGTGGAGAGAAAGCATCACGGAAACCACTTGCAGCACCAACGCCACCATAAAGATGCAATGTCTATGGTAAACACGATAATGATGGTGTGCTCTGAGAGTTACAGGCAAGATAACGGCGGGGGGGGGAGGGAGGGGGGCTGTCCTTTGGTTGGGATGATCAGCACTGCAAACCCCCACCTCTGCTGAATATTGTTCTATAGATATAATTGATCCAAAAAATCCCCACAGTATTATTTGTTGGGGTCTTGGGAGAGAGAGGGGAATTAGGGTGACTGCTCTAAGCATTGGGCAGAAAACAAATAGTCGGGGACACTCAGTCAAACCTTGTTGGGGGAGGCAGCTTGTTCATTTCCTAGCTGCCCAGAATCCCAAAATAATCACACAGAAATCTGTATTAATTGCAATATTTTTGGGCCAATAGCTTAAGTGTATTTCTGGCTAACTCTTATCTCTTAAATTTTTATTAATCTGTGTAGTGTCATGTGGCTGTGGCTTACCAGCAAGGTTCTGGTATATCTGTCTCCTGTGGGCGGCTACTTGCTTCTCCCTCACTCCACCTACTCTCTCTCTCTACATCCCTGTTTGGATTTCCCGCCTGGCTTTACTCTGTTAAGCCACTGGCCGAAAGCAGCTTTATTCATTAACCAATAAAAGCAACACAAATACAGAAGGACTTCGCACACCAAAACCTCATGCGAAAGTGACCTGTGGGGAAAGAAACCAACTCTTCCAGGTATTAAAACATTCTTTATTAGGAGCCGATTGAAGTGGGCAAATGCTGAAAAGCTTTAGCTTCCGTATGCACACACCTGTGTACACACACATGCACGTACATGCACACATACACGCGCACACACACACACACATACACACACAGAGAATCATTGTCTGGGTAGAAAACAGAGCAGGAGAAGTCCTCAGGTAGAATGACTTGGGTTTAAAATGTGACAGGACTGACATGTCCTGCTGCCGTTGACAGGCTGGGGAAAGCATGGCCTCTTCTAGTGTTAAAGCAACCCCCCAAAAAGTGTGTAGCTGTGGAGAGAGGTGTCTGACCTCCGACTATCCCTCCTCCGAGAGTGGACAGACAGCTCCTCCTGACAAATCCTCCTCAAGCTAGGTGGCTGCTTCCAGCAGGGTTGGAGCCCAGCAGGATGGGGAAACCGTCCTCCTCTTGGTCATGGTGGGTTAGGTGCTACATGATCATTTTTGGTCTTTTCTGTAGGTTATTGAGGATATTTTAGCCAGTCAAGAGGAAGAAGAAAAACTCAAAAAGAAAAAGAAAAAAGAGGAGAAGAAGGAGGGTAAGCCCAAAAAAGCCAAAAAAGAGGAGAGGAAAGGCAGCACGAAAGAAAGGGCTACAAAGGTAAAGAGTGTGTGGAAGTCTTAGAAGTCTGACTCTGTCTTCCTTCTGCTGGACTCTTGGGCAGGGGGTAACCTCGGGGCTGCTCAGGTTGCCTTCAGTAGCATCAGAGTTCATTGCATTCTAGGTTGGTCAGCATCTATCACAATCTTTCCAACATTTTATAAACATCTCCCAGGATAACTGTCAGTGTGGACAACTCAGTCAGTTTATGCAATTTACATAATTATTCCCCAAAATAAACCATCACACTTGTCTTTCTTCAAGGCAAGCTGCTTGGCAAACCAAGGAGTCACGGTGAAGTGTAAATAATCCTGTCTTTGTTAGCCCATGCGTGCTCATTTGAATTCATCAGAAACACTCACTGCGGGTGTGCCTCAACAGTATACCTGTAGAAATCGCCAATAAAGTGTAAGCAGTTAGCATTTACCCCAGGGGACAGTTGGGTAAAAAGATATTAGCCTTGCCTTATTTGTTTTAATTACATACTGTCCTAGTTTTATTTATCTTATGATAAAATGCCCTGGGGGAGGGGGAAAGCGACTTAGGTGAGAAAGAGCTTATTGCACCTCACGGCTCCAGTTATAGTTCATCATAGCAGGGAAGACATGGCGGGAGCTAAAAGTAGACGGTCACATCTGTCGAGAGTGGAGAGAAATGAATGCGTGCATGTTGCATGCCTGCCAGTTCTCAGCTTCGTTTTTCCACCCGGACATAGTCACCTCTGTCTAAAGAATGGAGCCCACACAGTGGCCTGGTCCTTCCAAACCTTGGAGACTTCCTCTTAGAAATGACTGATTACCTTTTAACTACCTGCTATTAGTAAAAAGTATGCTCTTTCCAAAACATCACACAAGCAGAAAGCCGAACACCCTTCAGGGCCATGAGACAGTCTCCAATAATCATCACTGAGACAAAAAGCCACATGGATGGAAAACAATGACCTGAGTGAGTGCTGGACTCTAGCTGAGGTCAGCAGTGATGTGGTGTCTGGACTTTGCATCCCATGGCTCAGTGGGATGAAGAAAGGGTGGAGTCACTATCTTTGGGTCTCTGGGTTTGCACATAAGAACATCATCATTGAAGAGCAGCAGGAAGACCGGAAGAGATGGGGCGGGAAAGGAGCAGAAGTCTGCAGGAAACAGTATTTGCCAGACAAGACAGGACTGTTATACACATGAACTCAGAGTGACTGTACTACACAGATAAAGCCTGCAAGGGGGCCAAGCCAGCCAAAATCCCAGCCTGGACTGGGAGGGGCTTGTGAAGTCCCTGCCCCCACCCCCAGCTAAGGAACTGTTAGCACTTGATGGCTTCAGGGGCAGAGAGATTCTGTTGTCTTCAAGGATGTGGTCCATGCACATTCAGGAAGACCCAGCCGATTTGAAAAAAGAAGACATGAATAGTGATGAATTTGTGCAAATTGCATTATATACATGTATGAAATTCTCAATTGACAGAAAAGTTAAAATAAAAAAGAATAATATTATAAAATAAAACACCTATAGGTCACTTGATCCCGCCGTCAGAAGCTCAGCGAAATAATGAAATGGTGAAAACAAGAGCATTCCTCCTCCTTTCTTGGATCCATCTAGAAACACCGCCGCAAGCTTTTAGATAAGAAAGAAGACAGGTCTCGCAGGAACTTTCAACTTCATTTCAGGCTAACGGAAAAGAAAATGGAAAAAACAAAATAACACATTCACATCTGAACTTCTAAATTTCAATTTTTCATGTAAGAATTTAGAAAGCTATTTATGTTAGTATCATAGACTGGCGTGGCAGCATGCACCTGTACTCCCAGCATGGACGGTGGAGACAGCTGAGTCCCTGGGCGCCCAGTCAGGCCAGCCCTGGCACTTGGCAAATTCCAGAGCCATGAGTGAGCCTGTCTTTAAGAGCACGATGGCACTCCCGAGAAAGAACATTTGAGGTTGACCTGTAGACTCCACACATGAACTTCATACTTGCTCCAAATATGGACACACAAGTGCACACACAAACATGGAAAATACATTTTTCACCCAGAGTTAAGAAAATTAATCTCTTCCTAAGCTTCACGCCTTCTGTAGATGTGAACTCAGACTGCGCTGTGCACTTGGAGCCCAAAAGAATGACAATTTGTGAGACAAACATTGTGAGGAGAAACTTCAGGACCAGAACTAGGAAAAGAGCTTTTCAGATTCGTCATCAAGAGTGGAATCCAGGGGCTGGAGAGATGGCTCGGTGGTTAAGCACTGGCTGCTCTTCCAGAGGACCTGAGTTCAATTCCCAGCAACTGCATAGTGTCACAACCGTCTGTAACTCCAGTTCCAGGGGATCTGATGCCCTCTTTGACCTCCATGGGCACCATGCACACACATGGTACACATACATACATACATACATACATACATACAGTAAAAATAAAATTTTTTTAAGTAGAGCTGAGTCCTGGGGAGAGGGCTTCTATAGAAAGCCCTTACCAACCAAATGCAAGGACTAGAGTTCAGATCCCCGGAACCCACATAATTGCCAGCTGGGCCTGACAAACCTCCTGTAGGTCCAGCTTCAGAAGACCCAGAGCCCACTGGCTAGTGGGATATCAGTGATTAATCCGAGATTATTCCTGCGCCAGCCTCAGGCCTTCGCATGCACATGTACACACTTGCATCCCCCCCACACACACACAGAGGCATATACACATGTGCGTACTAACACATACACAAGAAAATTGGCGCCGGGAGGGGTGGAGTCCCTTCTAAACGTCACCAGTTGGGGTTCATCAAATGGAAAGCCTCCTGCAGTGTGAATGACCCGACAAGGGGGACTTAAGAGTGAAATATGCAGCTGTACCTGCAAGAAAATGCATACAAGCTATCTCACAAAGGATGATGCATAGCATGTGTAGTACATTCTCACAGTTGCATGGTTTTAAAAGATATTTTTCAGTGGATTTTCGGTTTGTCATCAAAACTGTTGAGGATTTCAGACAAGGGGCTCCCATTACTATACATCCATGAGGGGATTCCTCCCTAGGGGGATCTCTCAATGAGTGTATACCTCCATGATAGATACCTTCGTGAGGGGAGTCCCTCAGGGAGGGAGTACCTCCATGAGGAACCACTAAAGCCACAAGGACATTTTCCACCAATGTGTGGTCACCTCTGCAAGCATGCTGTCAACAGCAAAGTAATCTCATTTGTCTGGCTGTGGTATTCATGGCCCTCATACTGGCTTCAGGAATGAAAACAAGGGAAATAGGCCCACCTGACAACTGTTCTCTCTTTGCAAAAGTCACCGAGTAAGCCATTATGAATTGTTATCAGTGCGCTGCTGGGAAGACCTTTGGGCCCCCAAAGAGCACTGTCATTTCTAAGAGTTCTTGGGTGACAGTGTCACCCAGCCAGGACTGGCCACAGCCTTCTGTCTAGTCTCTTGGCCCAAGGAGGAGTTCCATATTGAAGACTGGGCACCAGCCATGGGATGTTGCTGTCCACATTCAGAGACACACTCTGAACTGTGATAGTTCGTTTCCATGGGCATTCTAAATCCCGTTAAGTTGACAACAGAGGTTAATCATCACACGTACCTTCAGGTAAGACCAGTGAGGGTTGTGAATGGCCTGGGACAAGGATAAAACCCTGCAGTATGAAGACCATATTAAATGCCTACTGTGTCAGCATTTGGGAAGATAAAAAAAAAAACACATTGCTTTCTGTCCCTCCACTGTGAGAGGAGAGAGCTAAGAACGTAACAGAGACAGTCGGGTAGCTTCTTACAAACTGACTCTCATCGACAACGAAGGAGGATGGGGTCTAGAGAGGTGGCTCTAGTTAGGAGCTCTTACTGCCCTTGCAGAGGACCTGGGTTTACTTCCCAGCACCCATAGACTATCTCACAGTCACCCACAACTCCAGTTTTGAGGGACCCAGTGCGCTCTTCTGACTTCCGTGGACACCAGGCACACACATGGTGCCCATATACACATGCAGGCAAAACACAAATGAGCATAAAATAAATAATAAAATACATCCAAAGTGATTTTTCAAACTGCAGAAGAGGCAAGAGAGATGACCCCTTGGTAGCTCCCAGGTTTCCTACCCAGCCTAGTCACTGTCCTAGGGTACAGGAAGCATTTACGGTGGAGAATCATTATCACTGAATGAGAACGATCATGGCTGGAAACTGTATTTGAAGGTGAAATATGCCAAGATCACATGACAGCACATTAGCTTGAAATATAGATCTAAAGTTCAGCATGTTGGAACTGCTTTGACCTTGCATTAGAGTGGCATGTGCTGTCGTCATTAGAGACCTGGAGCTGTCGTGCCTGTCAAGGTTTGAGGGGCTTTTCTCACCCACACAGAAGCAGCAACTGAGCTGATAGAATTTGAAATAGGAAACCTAAAACTACTGTGCTCTGACCCAAATCTGTCTCAATTTTTTTTATGATTGTGCATGTGAATTTTGTCAGAAGGATGCCCTGGTTTTTGCTTGAGAAGTGGCTTTGAGGAAAGAGCGCTCCCTGCCACACACACAAGCAGGGGTAGAAGGAGGACAAATGAAGTTTAGTCACAGCAACCAACAGAGTGAAACTCAAGAGGGAATGCTTGCTGTACCTACTCAGCCCACGAAACCTGTGATTCCTTGGCCTTATGTGATGGACAGGTAACGCACAGGCTGGCAAACAGCAGAGAACAATGGAAAGTTCCTTCAGTGTAGGCCCTTTTCCTTTGAGTTTTAGGTTGTGCGCAGTGCTGTGTGTGATGGTGTCCTTTGTGGAATTAATGGGGTGAGGTGGCTCGGCTGTGAGGCAGCGGGAGGGTCCAGAGGGTGCTGTGAGTGCCTTCAGAGCCGCACCCTGCTGTCTGACAGTGGAGGCCAGTGTGCACCCTAAGTAGGCCCTGAGCAACATTCGCCCAGCTCTGGGGAAATGCAAGGGTGGAGCGTGTGGGAGCTCACACTCCTTACCTGGAAGCACTGGGCTTGTTGGCTGGCAAAACATGCTTGCTAAAGTCATC